TAATAAAACAAGGTCTTTGTCTGCAATGATTAGACATGTTTTTTATTATTGTCATTAGTGATTATCTCAATTTCGGCTAAAAAGAATTTACAAAATCCTACACACYGTGCCTTTAAGACATAGTGAAGTAGCTAAAAACGATCACATGCTGATTGCCGATGCTAATCCCAGGTTAGGCTAATGCTAAATCTAATTTTACAAAGGTCTTCAATGCAGCCATTTTCAAACATTCACAGCTAAAAATGTATAAAGTACAGTGGTATCAAAGAACAATCTTTAAGAAAATCAAAATGCAAATACAAAATTCAAGATCCACTTATCAATTATTTGGGGGTGGCGCCTTGGGGTGGCCAGAGGTGACGCTTGGCCCCCCCGGCCACCCCCTCCAGCTCTGCCCCTGTTCAGCTTCAGAACTGATCAGTGTTTGTGTTTCAGTGGTCGCTCCTGGTGTGACAGCAGCTCCACCTACAGATCACAACCTTCCTCTTGGAGGAACTGCCATCTCCTCCTTGTCGGGAGAGGGACATGTCGCTCATCAACCTGCGGGCAGCAGCGACCAATCAGGAGCAGGCGGCGCTCCCCTGAGCTCAGGACTCGACCAGTCATTGGCCGGCTCTTTGTCCGGTTCCTCCGACTCTGCAGGTTGGGTCAGAGGAGAACTTTTACCGTGAAGCTCCAGTTTAGCTGCAGCTCCTTCTTAACTAAAAGTTTTCTCTTTTAAGTCTGTTTTTCCTCATCGTGTGCAGCTTCCTCATCATCTTCATCAGACGGTGCAGCTCACAGAGAGCGGACAGGTATGCTCACCTGCTCAGGTGAAGACTTTACTCACATACATCAGGTCAGAATGTTTCACATTATCTGACATAAAWATATGATGTTTCTAAATTTTGTAATAATTTCATTTTAATATCACATTTACTGTATTAATTTGTCCTCACAGATGGAGCTGATTCACCTGATGCTAATGGTAATAAAAGCTGATTTTCAGTTCAGTTTACGGCTTTTGTGAACACATAAATAATATTAAATGTTATATTTTTAGGAAATGGCAGACAGACTCTGCTAACAGACACAAGCGGAGGTAAATGTTCATTTTATCTTTTAAATAACTGCTAAATAAACACTCAGCTGAGTTTGTTTTACCTTTATATGGCTGTAAAAGTGTGCAAAACTGCAATAAATCAACTGTCACAGTGTGAGCACATCCTGGCAAATAATTTAAAATAAAATATATGACCTTTCTAAACACGGATTTTAGAATTTAACCTTCTTGTGATTGCACAAAATTTAGTAAATTACCTTTTTTTTATACTTTTAATAGTTTAGATTTACATGCATCTAACACATTGTGCGTACTTTAAAGCTGTGATGTCAAATCAGTGTCTTTGATTTCATCTTTGCTATTGTTTGTTTGTTTGTTTGTTTGTTTGTTTGTTTGTTTGTTTGTTTGTTTGTTTGTGCAGCTGTGACAGAAAGGCTGATTTCCTTTAGCGATCTTCAGACTCAAACTCTGCGAACTGACCTCACAGGTACAGCTGTTACTTTTATTGTGAAATATTGTAATGCATGGTCTTATGATGATGATGATGATGATGATGATGATGATGTCACCAGGTGGCGTGGAGTCCGTGACCCGGCTTCACCTCGATCACACAGGTGAGCAGGATCAATGAAACAGATCATAGCATGTCTCACTGCTGAAACTGACTCTGTGTTCTGATTGGTTGCAGCTTCAGCTCTTGAACCTGGCCGTGACGTCACAGGTAGGGCCTGTTGCCGTGGCAACACACTCGGCAAGGGGAGTTTGCGTCGACTCACTTCCTGTCAAATGGCTGTGTTGCAGAACTGCCGTCCGTCACTGTCAACACAGAGTCTGCAGACAGCGTCACGAACGTACTGAGCCCAGGTACACCTGACACACCTGTCTGTCTGACACACACCTGTATATCTGACACACACCTGTCTGTCTGACACACACCTGTATATCTGACACACACCTGTCTGTCTGACACACACCTGTATATCTGACACACACCTGTCTGTCTGACACACACCTGTATATCTGACACACACCTGTCTGTCTGACACACACCTGTATATCTGACACACACCTGTCTGTCTGACACACACCTGTCTGTCTGACACACACCTGTCTGACACACACCTGTCTGTCTGACACACACCTGTCTGACACACCTGTGTCTAACGAACATTTGATCAGGTAACATCTCTGTCACGTGTTTGCTTGTTTGTTCAGTTTCAGGTGTTTACTCCAAAGCAGACCAGGTTACGATGGCAGCACACGCCACAGGAACAGTCATAGGTGAGTCTTGCCCTCCAGCATGACTCTCGTTACAATCAGGAGGCAGGTCAGAGGTCAGAGGTCAAAGGTCGGACCTGTTATTAAACTGCATGTGTTTTTAGTTCCAGCAGGTCCAACAGGAACTCCATTTGACTCCAGTAAGTTCTGTCATTTTAAAGAAGAAGAGGAGTTTTAGTTGGGATCGTGTGTCCTTTGTTTAGTCTCTGTAGTAGAACTTTTTATTTCTTTGGTTGTGTTAATACAGATATTAATAAGTGTGTGTGTTATTTGATGTGTGTGTTCATTTGCAGGTCATCCAGCAGTAACAGATCACACACAGGTGGCTGGTAAGTTTTACATTTGCACGCATCGCAACAAGGCTTCCTTTAAAACTCATCAYCAACCAGTTTAATGCGTCTAAACTGGAGAAAATAAAGACAAAACTTTCTTTAAAACTGAGATTTTATGAGGTGTGAAATCCCAGGTCAGGGGTTTTTGTCTGTATTTGTAGTTCAGAGTTCTGCAGTTTGTGTGTCTGACCTGAGATCAGTTGCTGAAAGCTTCTTCTTTCTCTTTTCTTGGTTCTGCGTGTCCTCTGCAGGTTCAGTCACTGAACAGTACAACCCATCTGGTCAGGGTCCTGAAGGTCAGTAAACCCTTACTCCCACCWCTGACACATTTCTTTAATCTCAATGTCTCTCTCTCTCTTTTTAAAATTATTATTATTTTAGCATTTGTCTCTCGCTCTTTCACGTTCTGATTGTTCTCTGTTGATTAATGGCTCTTTGAGCATCAACCAAATGTTCCCCCAACAGATTTTTGTTCTATTAATGAACACATCAGTAAACTTAACCTCTTTCTCTAGAACTTTATTTGTGAAAAAGAAAAGAGCTTTTGTTAGAGTGGTACAGCAGAATGAGTGGGTATTTACCTAGTCATTGTAACTATTTATTATTTTGATTCCTGTGTATTTATGAATATTTTCCAGTACGTGTTTTATTGTTCAGCCCTTTGGTTGGCCTTGTTTTTGATATGGTAAAAAGTCGAATAATTGAAAATAAGAGTCACGAGTCCTCTCATGGTTCTGATCCTTCACTTAACTCTTAATCTGAAGTACAGTGCCTTGCAAAAGTATTTGCCCCCTTGAACTTTTCAACCTTTTGCCACATTTCAGGCTTCAAAATTAAAGATTTAAAATTGATTTTTGTGTGTGTGTGTGTTTGAAGAATCAACAAGGAGACACAATCGTGAAGCGGACTGAAATTTATTGGATATTTTAAACTTTTTTTAACAAATAAAAACCTGAAAGATTTAGCGTGCAAAACTATTCAGCCCTCTTGCGTTAATGCTTTGTAGCGCCACCTTTTGCTGCGATTACAGCTGCAAGTGGCTTGAGGTATGATGCTCTCTGCAGAACCCTGAGACTATTCACAGAGCTGGTGTGTTTATAAAGAGACATAATTACACACAGGTGGATTCTATTTATCATCAGTCATTTAGGACAACAATGGATCAGAGATCCTCAATGAACTTCTGGAGTGAGTTTGCTGTACTGAAAGTAAAGGGGCCGAATAATTTTGCACGCCCCACTTTTCAGTTTTTTATTTGTTAAAGTTTAAAATAAACAATAAATTTCGTTCCACGATTGTGTCCCACTTGTTCACAAAAAAATTAAATTTTATATCTTTACGTTTGAAGCCTGAAATGTGGCAAAAGCTTGAAAAGTTCAAGAGGGCCGAATACTTTCACTGTATGTGGCTCAAACATGGGGACTTCACATTTATGTAGCTTAAATAACTATTTTTTTTAAATGGACCCTCRTTTGGCTAGCATTTAGCCTAGCCTGGATGAAGACTTTTGCCTCTTTCTTCATGCTGATGTCCCGGCTGATAAGGTACTAACTGATAGATAACTAACCTGAACAGGATTTGTTTTAAGGTGAGCGAAATTAAAAGCTTTCTTTAAAAAGATTTGAATAAACTGTTTTGTGTGTCAGTTGCAGAGAATGTGGAACTGGAGGATACCTGCTGACTTCCACAACAAGCCACGAGTTCGATTTTTGAGGTTTCGATTCCAGTGTACCGACCAATCAGCATGGCCCAGGAATGTTGACCCCTCCCACTAGCTATAGGCCCCTCCCACTAAATGAGAACTGCTCATGGGTGTTCATTTTTATTGTAATATTTAAAAAAATAATGTTAAGACGTTTATTTTATTTTAGAGAAATCACTGGGTCCTCCCCTTTTCCAACCACTGGCACCAAATTTAACAAAGATCAACAAGTTTCTTTTTTTTTTAGTTCAAGAGCCTAAAATATTTTTAAATAAAATAAAATACCAACAATCACCTGCAGGTAAATATGCTGCATTTGCATGACTCATTGTGCAGACCCCACCACGATCTTGCACCGGTGTGTAAATGGTGCGGACCCACTGAGAGTAAGTTTCAGGTGAAATCTCGGCCATGGTGATTCTGTTTTTATGACATCATACAGGAAGAGACATCATTTTCATTGTAAATTGTGGTTTTGAGCTTCTACAATAAAAGTTTTGTCTATTTTGAACATCAAACCATCGCCTTTTATCCAGATTCCCCACACACAAGCATGATTTAAAAATGATTAATTCAACGCAAATTCTTTTTAAAGGTTTTATTGAACCAAAGTTTCGCAATCAAAATACTTTAAACATTCTATCCAAAGTTTCTGATGCTCCTCCTCTCGTCGGCACGTAGAAAGCTGTCAAGTGAGCTCAGGTAAATCTAATAAATGGCTTACGCTTGAATGTGTTATTGAACAAAAGTCAATATAAAAATCGCAGAACGCCTTGTTTTGTTGGTGAACGGATGAAATGACTTCAGGACACCAGGAGTCACCTCACTGTCACAGAACATTCTGTTAAAACTTCTAAATGACCATTTTTGTTCATTAAAACAGACATTAGCAAAGATAAAAGTACTGGAGATATAAGAAAAAGAAAAACACTGAATACTCAGCTACACTCTGCAAAGCAAAAGCAACTCTGAGAACTTTACAATTAAATCAAACAAAATTACATTTTCATTATTTAGCAGCAGAAGTCGAACGTTTCTGAAAACAAAACACACCAACTGTGACTTTAAAGGAATAAAATCCCGTCGATAAGTTATTTTCACCTGAAATGTCTCATAAAACTGAAACAGAACCCCTGATGTCCTGAAGTGATCCATTACACAGAAACAACCTGATCCTTTCAATTCAACTGTGTTATGTGGATAACTGGTGAAAACGATAAATGTAGCTCAGTTACATTTCTCCGGCACAGAACTGAAGCAGAGCCGTGGCGTGAATATCTTTAACATAAATACAAGCTGCGTTCCATCCGTCACTCAGGAGGGATGTGAGCTTTCAGGTCTCCTGAACCGTCAGAGCCGAGCGGAGGAGAGTCTGAGTAAAACATCTGAATGTGGCTGAAGAGGAGCAAACCCGTTTATTAAAAATAATAATAATAATCCAATAACAGCTTAAATCAATGTATCCCTATCAGCTGTTTCTATGATAACAGAGGTATAACAGGAGGATAAATGCTTTGTAATAAATTTTTCCAAAAATACTCAAGATTCTTTTTTTTACACGTGAAAACAAACAAAACCATCGAATCTGACTTCAACATGCAGAAAACGACTGGACCGAGGTCACATGATCTTGAATTATGGGTTCCGTCGCCCAGTTCCTGTCCTCATGTGACCCGGGTTCTGTTAGAGCTTCTGTTGCCTTTTTTAATTTAATCTTTTTTTCACAACGAGCAACAAACAAACAAAACTAACTAATGAAGCAAACGAGATAAAATCTAAAATAAAAACACTGAAAGTATAGAAATGAGTGAAGAACGATGAAAACGAGACTTTTGACCTAATGACTGATCTACGAGCGATCAACGTCATCGTGTATTGCTGCCGCAGCCGGTGCTCTGAGTTACGGAGAAGTCACATTCTTGGCGATATCAGGGGTCGGAGTGGAGTTGGGTGTGGCTCAGCAGGGCGTCACCYGAGTTGTCGGAGGGCGTGTCTGAGTTGAACAGGGGCTCCGCCTCCAGCTCCAGGAGGGACGGCAGGTCGGCGCCGCACTCCCCGAGGCTGACCGGTTCTGTTATCTGAACAGGAGTGGCTGTGTAATGCACCAACTGCTTTCCTGCGTGTATCGGAGACGACGCAGTGTTACCGGGACATCAGGATGTTTTTAGGTTTATGATTCTCTGAGGGAGACTGTTACCTGTGCTGCCTTCACTCTCTTTAGGGGCTTCTTCAGCCAGCAGCTGCAAAAACAGTTTTATTACTCAGACAGATGCATTTCATTGACTTCTACAAGGTACAACTTCAAACTTTTATTAGAAAAATGATACGRAACAAATTTGATTTATAAAATCTTAAACTCACAGTATCCAAGCTGTCGATGTCAAAGTCTGGAGTGGGACCAGGTGAGCTGAAAAACTAAAACACAAAGTTTTCCATAAAAATGCAGTCAAACTAATTATTTAAAGTAAAACTACTTTGTTGCTATACTAAAGCACATTTTTCATATATCTGTACTTTCTTAGTAGATTTCATCATGGGTACTTTTGACTTTTACTCCACTTCATTTTACATTAAGTATCTGTACTTTCTTACTCCACTACATTTCTGTAATGCGTTGAACTACAAATTACATTCATGTCACGTCGCATTACGTTTTGTTGTTTGTTTGAAAGTAATCAGTGGTGAGAGGGGAATTGTTGTAATTAGTCCATTGAACCACTGCAAAGCAAAGTACCATTAGACCCTCCTTCAAGAAAAAGCGGCGCGATTCCACATCACCTGCTGAAGCAGCAGCAGCACGCCCAAAATGGATTCCACCGTGGAGGAAATGCACCACACATGGCCTTATTTAAAGGGATCCCCGATTAGTTGTAACATTAGACTTTATTTGATAAATACTGTATATTTTAAATGTAAAATAAAGACTGTAAAAAATCTGTCGGCTGCTTAGTTTTTATAATTTTTTTAACAAAGTTTAAAAATATATTACACGGACAGGGCCATTTTATTTACACACAAAGCATTCTGGGTAAATGATGACGTGGATAGGTCCTCAGTGTGAGCGAGCTATATCCACCCTGAAGGTTAATCTTGGACAATATCTGATGATCGACTCTTTTAAATGAAACCAGAGAGCGTTGACAGAGAGGAGAAGGTAGAAATGACTCAGCCTGGAACTGAAAATATGGATGGAGGACCTCAGTTTAGCTTGTTGCGCTAGCGCCGAGCTAATACATACAGTGGGGAAAATAAGTATTTAGTCAGTCACCAATTGTGCAAGTTCTCCCACTTAAAAAGATGAGAGAGGTCTGTAATTGACAGCATAGGTAGACCTCAACTATGAGAGACAAAATGTGAAAAAAATTTGAGAAAATCATTTTGTCTGACTTTTAAAGAATTTTTTTGCAAATAATGGTGGAAAATAAGTATTTGGTCAATAACAAAAGTTCATCTCAATACTTTTTTGTATGTCCTTTGTTGGCAATGACAGAGGTCAAACGTTTTCTGTAAGTCTTCACAAGGTTGGCACACATTGTTGCTGGTATGTTGGCCCATTCCTCCATGCAGATCTCCTCTAGAGCAGTGATGTTTTGGGGCTGTCGGCGGGCAACACGGACTTTCAACTCCCTCCAAAGGTTTTCGATGGGGTTGAGATCGGGAGACTGGCTAGGCCACTCCAGGACTTTGATATGTTTCTTACGAAGCCACTCCTTTGTTGCCCTGGCAGTGTGCTTGGGATCATTGTCATGCTGAAAGACCCAGCCACGTTTCATCTTCATTGCCCTTGCTGATGGAAGGAGGTTTGCACCCAAAATCTCACAATACATGGCCCCATTCATTCTTTCATGTACACGGACCAGTCGTCCTGGTCCCTTTGCAGAGAAACAGYCCCAAAGCATGATGTTGCCACCCCCATGCTTCACAGTTGGTATGGTGTTCTTTGGATGCAACTCCGCATTCACTTTCCTCCAAACACGACGAGTTGTGTTTTTACCAAATAGTTCTAYTTTGGTTTCATCTGACCATATGACATTCTCCCAATACTCTTCTGGAACATCCAAATGCTCTCTAGCAAACTTCAGACGTGCCTGGATATGGACTGGCTTAAGCAGGGGGACACGTCTGGCACTGCAAGATCTGAGTCCCTGGCGTCGTAGTGTGTTGCTGATGGTAGCCTTTGTAACATTGGTCCCAGCTTTCTGCAGGTCATTCACTAGATCCCCCCTTGTGGTTCTGGGATTTTTCTTCACCGTTCTTGTGATCATTTTGACCCCACGGGCTGAGATCTTGCGTGGAGCCCCAGATCGAGGGAGATTAGTAGTGGTCTTGTATGTCTTCCATTTTCTGATTATCGCTCCCACAGTAGATTTCTTCACACCAAGCTGCTTGCCTATTGCAGATTCAGTCTTCCCAGCCTGGTGCAGGTCTACAATTCGGTTTCTGGTGTCCTCCGACAGCTCTTTCGTCTTCACCATAGTGGAGTTTGGAGTGTGACTGTTTGAGGTTGTGGGCAGGTGTSTTTTATACTGTTAACGACTTCAAACAGGTGCCATTAATACAGGTAATGAGTGGGGGAAAGAGGAGCCTCTTAAAAAAGAAGTTACAGGTCTGTGACAGCCAGAAATCTTGCTTGTTTGTAGGTGACCAAATACTTATTTTCCACCATTATTTGCAAAAAAATTCTTCAAAAGTCAGACAAAATGATTTTCTCAAATTTTTTTTCACATTTTGTCTCTCATAGTTGAGGTCTACCTATGATGTCAATTACAGGCCTCTCTCATCTTTTTAAGTGGGAGAACTTGCACAATTGGTGACTGACTAAATACTTATTTTCCCCACTGTATAAGGCAATATAGCGTGGGGGCTAGTGCAAAAGCTAACAGGCTAAGCTGAGGTTCTTCCATGAAGCAGCTCTGTTGTCCTCCATCCATCCATACAGTAGGCACACTTCATATTGTAGACCATTAGGGAATACATTAAGCAAGTACTTTTACTTTTGATACTTTAAGTATTTTTAAAAGCAAGTACTTTACTTTTATTCAAGTAAACTGTTAGTGTGGTACTTTTACTAGAGTATATTTTTGTCTGTTTATATGTACTTTTACTTAAGTACAGTGTTGGAGTACTTTCTCCACCACTGATTATTATTGTCTGGAACGTATCAATGCATGAATCAGATTTGGACTCACCTCCATGAGAGGAGACGGGTCAAAGGTAAAGGTCTGCGAGTTCAGAATAGTCTGCAGGTTCTCCAGGCCGTTGTCAATACTGTCCACGTGATCAACGAGTTCAGTCCTGAAACAAAGACAGAAAGAACAGACGGCTGTCAGTCAACACTAAACGTCTGGTGTTATTCTACATTTTTTAATCATGTCAACATAAACCCAAACCAACAGTGTGTGTCTAGTCAAATTTCCTTTCAGGATATTTCAGTTTTTGCTATTTTTTTTCGGCTGAAGAAGCTAAATTCTTAAAATTTACCACAAACTCGACTTGAAAGCAGGTACAGCGGTGCAGCGGGACATAAAATCTGAACTGAAAATAGTTTTTGAACCACAGATGTGAACATGTTTCAGGTACGGAAGCAGATGAATCCACGTTTTAACGAGGTTTGGGATTGATGTGCAGTAAAAATACACACTACTGGTCTGGTCTTTTTTCACATGACAAGAACAAAAAAATGTGGAATAACACTAAAAAGTATAAATAAACTCGTATCCTTAAGGTTTGTAATTATCGTAAGACTCTACATAAAAGCAGACTGTAGCCACCATGATGGAACACAAACCACTGAGGACGACCACTAGCTGCGTTTCCATTGACCATGAAAATGCGCAAATTAAAATTTCGAAAATAAATCTGCTCAATGGAAACACCTCAATTTCGAAAAAAAATTGTTTTTCGACGAAATGGTTTCGCGCTAGGATGAGTTTTTTTGGCCGTATCAAAATTGATGTATTTCGCAAATCTGCAATGGAAACACTTTTTTCGCATCACGGGAGTCACGTGATCAAGAAACGGCTGTTTCTAGTGGCGAAAAAGACGAAGAAGAAAATAACAGGAAGTAATAGTAGTAAAATCGCCGAAGTATTAAAAGAAAGTATTAAACTCACTGACTACATTTTCCCAAAAACGCAGCATACGTAGCCGCTCACAAGTAGGGGCTTGTCACTTGAAAGCCTCGATAAAAGAGGCCGACRTCTCCTCTGATGATGAGCGCTAGTGTCGTGGTAGCAACATGCTATGTGTTTTCATCCATTGCTGCCATGTTTGTAATGACTTATCGCAAGAACAAACGTATTCACGCGTGACTTTAATAACATTTCTTACTTAATGGAAACATCGCAGTTGCGAAACTGTGTTTTTTCAACATTCACAGAATATCGACAAAGTTTTGCGCACATTTGCAATGGAAACGCAGCTAGTTTTAAGCATCAATCTGGAAGTTGTGTTTTTTGTGATAAATGATGCGGATGATCATCAGTAAAAATCTGTTGACACTACACACGTGTGTCGCAAACGAGCCTTCTTGCTCCGAATGATACTGAAACCATTTTATTTTCYGGGTCATCTTAAAAGGACTGAAACAAAGCAGTTATCTGATTTCTACACATCCCCTGCGCTGACCACTGTATAGAACAAATGCTTAAAGATGTGATTTTATTTTCCAGACCAATAGGCTGAGTCTCTCTTTTACATACAGTCTAAGATAATTATTTAAAGATTCACTTGTCAGGATGCTTGGATACGATGCGCCAAGCGTCAGGTGGAAGTCCACCTGCAGAGGAAGGGAGGTGGAACCTAGGAAAGCACAAGGATTTAATAAAACATGTGACCTTTAACAGAACTATTATGCGATAATATACAAATACACTTGGGATTGTTTAATTAAATGGTACTTAGTTGGACATGAAAAAAGACAGCCTCTGTAAGTGGATTAAGTGCCGTGCATCAAGAACTCAATAACAGATTTTTAGGGTAACAGCTGGCAGGTTTAGTTGCTGCAGGAGTTCTTCGGAGGGCTCAGACAGGCAGTTGTAACAAAGGGTGGGCATCAGTTGATAACAGCTCAGGAGCAATCGTTAGGTTGTTGCAGCAGCAGAAGCAGGTGGCCACCGGCACGTCCTGCTGCCACCCCGACTGCACACTTACCTGTCGAGACACGCAACGGCTTGGCATTTCTTTCGAGGTGTGGCGGGGCTGGGGGGAGAGGCAGAGGTGGGGTTGATAACGGGGTCCGCTGTCTGGATGGTTGGAGGCGATGGAGGGGGCCCACTGGGGCTCAGGACAACAACGGGACTGCCTACAGGGAAAAACAAACCAAGGTTAAAGTGAGATTTTAAAATTGTTTTCTCACATTACAGTAATTACAGCTTTGATTTAAAGAAGAGTTGTATCTACCTGTCTGGGTGGTGGTGGTGGTTGTGGAGCAGGTGACCTGTGTCGGCTGCGTCTCGTTTTCCTGAAGGATGGAGTTGATGAAGGCAGTGGGGGACAGAGGCGTGTCTTCATTTGTAACGAGGGGCTCCTGTTCGCTCTCGAGCACCTCCACCTCAGGGCTGGATGGTTCCTCTTTGATAAAAGCTGACTGACTCTCTCTGTAGGTACGTCAGAAAAATCTTAAGACACCAATCTTTTTCACATTTAAAAGCGAATGATCAGATCGCTCCTCACCCCAAGTCGGTCCAGTCGGTGACTACATCGTCTGGGGCGGAGGCGGCAATATCTGTGATGTCGGAAATGATGGGCCCAGAATTCATAGGGGAATCCGCTGAGAGGAGACTTGCTGGGGTCTGATGAGACATTACCAGTAAAAAACACAATGATTTATTGTGATTAAAAAAATACACACTTAGTTTTTTAAATGACAATTTCTTCTTGCTGTTGTTTTTACCTAAACTTAGCATAAATGTAAGGAAATTTGTGTTCTGTAGATTATTTTGCTATCATAACAATGCTTCTTGGTAATACATTTTATATTGTTGGAAAGCCTGCTCTTTTCTACTTTAAATGGTGCCACATTTGTAAGGAACATGCATTTGTGGGATGAGCAGTAGAGCCGAGTATGTGGGCTGTGTACAAGAAATATTTGTCAAATAGCTTATTTTGAGCTTCTAGTACCTCCGGGAATAAGATTTATTGTCACAAACAAATTATCAACCAAACACTAATTTCCTTACTTTTTGTACTAAGTATAGAATGTGATGCAGTGCTCCCTACTAACCTGACCTTGTTTTAATCGGACATTTTAAAAAACAAGATGATTTACATTACCTCTAATGAGAAGGTCCGGCTGTACTTGGGCATGGAGTGGGCGGAGCTGGAATCATTGAGCATCAGAGGACTAGAGGGAGAGAAATAAATTCATGAATAAACCAGACAAAAATACAAAATACTTATAATCATACTTCTAAACAGTTATCATTAGCTGAAAAAGGAAACTCAGGATGTTTGAATACGATACTTAAATGTAAACTGGTGATGAGGATTTATTAGACTTCAAATTAAATAAAATGTGCAGAATTTTAAGGTTAGAAGAAAAACTTGCATCTTCCGCTTGACTCCCATGAGTCTGTTGGTCTGGACAAGAGTCACCAGGAAATGGATCAACTGCAAAAACACAGAGTTTACAATTAGTTCAGTTTAACGAGGTAACATTGTGCTGATTATTACAGCCAGACGACACCATCGGCTCAATATTTATAAAGCCGTGGGAGATATTTATGAGGACGCTTTTTATAGACTGGAGCTTTATATTCAACAGCTATAAATATTCACAGATTGTTTCGCTAACTCTATGAGCATGTGAGACTCCAAATGACTAAAGGTTTTAGTTCTTACAGATAAGATAGATTGATAAGTTTGAATACTTTTGTGCCTGTACACTTTTCAAATTGTCTGCATGCTAGCTTTCAGTTTGAAAGCTGTGCACTCTTTCATACGCGAGGGCCCAGGTGTGTGCTGCTTCTGCTCTGCTCTACATTTGTTCAGATCAGTGGAAATATTTTTGTACCTTGTTGACGACTTTCTGCTGCTGCACATGTTTCTGTCTCAGACTGGCCACTTCCCTCCATAGAGCCTCATTTTCACTGAAAGACAAGTGACAACTTTTCTTATTGATTTTATTGTCATTAATACTTTGTATTAGTATTTACATAAGAATTAAAAAAAAAAAAAGAATAATCAGGGACAATATCCGTAAAATATTTCTGGCACTTCCTCTTAGCTCTTACTGTTTCATGGTTAGAATCCTGGAGTCGATGGTTTCCTGTTTTCCTTTCATCATCTGGACGTCGCTTAGGATTTTATTAACTTCATCTGCGGAGATCTTAACTTCCTCTTGACGGACTGACGACACCTGCATCAGCCATGTGAGACAGATACATAGATAGGAGCCATGGCCAAACAGTTTCTTTTTGTTCAAAATGATCAGTGCCTACGGCTGTGTCCAAAACGACAGGCCGGGTCCTCCGGAGGACCCAGACTCCCCGGTCTCGGCGGGCCGGGTCCTTGGTAG